GACGCATGTCGATTCGATATTTGAGATTGTTTTACGTTCAAAAGTCTTCGATTATATTTATTGTAATATTTTTCATAATCTTTTTCGGTGGTCGCGACGAAGGTCGAGAAATTACGGCCTGCTGCAGCAGGGTCATACGATATTGTGATTTCGATACGCGTGTCGTATTCGCGAGAGCGTTTATCGCGATCTCATAGGTGTAAGCAAGCGGGGAAAGGGTGTCGGCGGGTCTCGCCTATAATAATATTGTACAATACCTAAATATGCAGCCACGACGACAGCTATACAGCCTGCCCGCCGTGTCGCGCGTACGACGCATATTACACTATTATTGCAAAACGGTATATATGGACGGCCGACCGGCGGATTTCCGAGAACGAACCTATCCGGGAGACCCGACGTGGAGAAGAGGAAGCAGAGGAAGAAGGCGGGGGTGAGGGGCCGGTAATGGCAATTTCACGGACGGATTCGCACTGCGCGTTGCGGTCACACGCGCTAACGCTTGCGTGTGGTCAACCGTCCCGCGTGTGGGTTCACGTAAGACGTCGACCGGCGGCTGTGTGAGTGTGCGTGTGTAATAGGTTTACACGTATCGCAGACGTCCCTTTCCGACACGTCCTCCGAGCTCGGAAAAGCTTTCTGGGAACAATGGACCGCCTCGATGTTACCGGTTTCCCGCGGTCATGTTATTATATGTTATACAGCAAGTTACCTACCTACTGTTATTGTCTTAAAGCGCGCAGGTGTCTTTCCCCTCCGACCCACCCCGCCGGTAGTGTACATGATATTATTACATTATGTTATACAGGGCGATTCACCGAGCACGCTCACCCCCCATTTCCGCAATCTGTTGGCGAATTTATTCGGGTGGTATTGATTTTTGGAATTTTCAAATAAAGGTAATAGTACTTATATAGGTACTATTGTGGGGTAGCCTTTGACTAAATTATATTGAATTTCTCGAGAATTTTTCGTACTGCTCAAGGAACGTCACGTTGCTATACACAGAAAATGCTGTTTTCCAAACGAGTAGCCATTCAGTTCTTGAAACTACGGTGTTGTTTTAAGGCGATGTATATAACAGTCCTTAAAAATGATTTTACAAAAATATAAAATAAATGCAACATCGAATATGTTTATATAAATAGTATTTATCATACTTGAATCACATTTTTTTTATAAATCAATACAAATGTAGCATCTTCCAAACAAATAGTATCATGGACATAGAAAATTTATTATCCTTAATTCACACAGAGTGAAAAATAACCATATACCTAATATCGTTTGAATTTTGATTTTGATAAGTCAATAAATGTTGCAAAAATTATCCGCTAAATAATTGAGAAAAACAGGAGGGGTCGTCACTGGAAAATTAAAATCCTGTATCTCCACAGGACACTCGACTCTATAATAATAATTAGTGTGGTACGAAAAATCTCAAAAATTTAAGAATACTGTCTCTGGTAAGTACATTTAAAAATAACAAAAACCGCATTTTCAACTGCAATGTTATCGAAGAAGAAAACCGGGGTGAGCTTGTTTGGTCAATCACTCTGTATAATATTATATACTACCGTGTAACATGTTCCCATATCATGTAGACGTAGAGGAAATCGTGGTATTCGTCCACTCTGTTATATTATTACGTACAACAATAATAATAATAATATATAGCCGTTTATTATTATTATATTGTGCCGAGTACTTGCCGGCGACGATTTGTTATTACATTATTGTCATAATGTACATAATATAAGAGCATAGTGCACCACGCAGCTGCACCACGACAGGCGTGAGAGTGTGTGACCGTGGTATATTGGTCGCCGTAAAAAACGATCGGGTGGGCAATACTACGCGTAATACTCCACGCGTACATATATTATTATTATTATTATAATTATTATTATGCAGGTGCGAAGCTGGTTCGATGACTATAGGTAGAGCCAAAAGTCGAAATAGGTATCTATAATGTGTATACGCTGCAGTGGCGTGGTGAAGTGAAATATTTTATGGGTCAGTTAATTATTGTAATTATAATATAAGACTAGTTATTGAAGTTCATTATTATTATTCGGATGAGGTGAGTTTCGTACTACGATTTCTCACTGAGTCTAGTATACTCAGCCGCACTTGCAGCTTTAAAATTGTCAGAAAACTGCCACTGCAATCAACCCGTCACTTAAACTCTGGATGTGTATATAATATAATATACGGTCGTTAATATAACGATAAGACATAATAATAGTATGTGCGCAGTGGTCTTTTCGCGTTGGACCGAAACGACTGCGCGTGCGAGATGATTTTCCGCCATTTCCCGTACGATTTTCCTCGTGCGGCTTTTACTATTCTCGCGACGAAATCGTCGTGATTCGAAATAGCCGTGGGCACGTTATACATACAGACTTAAACCATACGCGTGTATGTACGTATATAGGTCGTAGGTGGGCGTGAAATCCCAAAGGCGACGGCTTATGTCGGCGAGCTTAACGCCATACGCGGGTCGAGATTTTTGGCGAAAGAGATCACTGAAGCGCGGCGTTTCCCGGCGCAATCAAGACAAATCTGATGTATGTCTCATTTTTATCTCATAAATAATATTATGTACCAACGGGATTTGCCTGATACACGAGTGACGAGTACGATGTTCTGCAGCAATTATTAAAGTTAACATAATGTGATATGACAAATAATAGTTCGATCGACATCACTCGTCCTATATATAGAAGCTAGCCGTATACTACATTATGTATAACGGTATATTTAATTAATAAATATCTGATTCATCCATATTATATTAAATACTTTGCGAAAAATATTCACTTCCAAAAAATATAATATATGTATTTTTAATTGACCTCCGTTTGATGGTATCATAGAATAATTTATTTATTTAATTATTTAATTTTTGCGTTAATTTCCGACTTCCGGTTTTATCTTTCTAATTTCTAATACCTCGCAGTAAAAATATACGCAGCCATCGGATAAAATACAGAAGATCTATATATGAGTATCTATATCAGTATATTATAATATATTACGTGAGAGTAAATAAGTACCTACCTAAATATAGTGACTGGTATGTACCGGAACTGCGGGCAATAGACTACGTGCTGCAGTTTGTATACTCACCCTTATGGTATATTATTATTATTATTATATAGTTGGCGTAATAAATAAATAAATACACAACACGAGCGTATTAATTCATCCCCGAGAACATTCACGCTTGGTTTGCCAAGCACACCGTATAGCAGGCCCCGACGTCCGCCTTTCGGCGACGTCTTCGTGGAGACGTCCTACAACCCCTAAACCGTATTATACGCCACACGCGAGCACCACCCGTGTACGAAATGTTTAGTCTTTTGTCTCGAGCACATATACTACGATATTATATTATATAGATTATATTATTATATCACACACACACACACACACGTAGGTACTACACTCTGACCTCGGCTCGATGTGTTTGTACACAATAATACTATAACGCGAGGCAGTCGTCGCCGACGTAGCTTTTGTGCGACCCGACCGCGGGAAGGACCCCCCCTAGGTTAGTCTCTATATATTTATGCGTATATACTTCGTAATAATATATAATAGTGGTGCATTGTCCTGGCTCAGCGGCGGCAGCGGTCCGGAAAGTCTCGGTCATACACATCCGCGGCTGGAGTGTGGAAATGGCCCGGGTAGGGGGGGAGGTTAGATTCGCCGAGATTTGAAACGGTGAGACGGTGGCGGCGGCGACGACCCTCGTCGTCGAGATGCGACAACTTACTGCACTCCGCGGCGCTTAATACTCGTCACGCTTTATACGATATTTAGTTTTCCCTCATCGATTATCTCGTCAGAGTCGCATCTCTCATTATACTATGACTATAGTACTTATAAGCTCCGATATTTGAATTTTGCAATTTATCGTGCCAAAAAGGTAGAACTAGATTTCTATGAATTCCTGGGTCACTTTTCATAACTCTTGCTGCATAGGTACCTGCAGGTATCCATTTAACGGTTTAGTCAATTTTTAGTTTCAGTCTATAATGTGACCGGAAGTAAGTTTCTATATATATTTGTATACATACGTACGATACACAATATATGGGTACGTCGTATTATATTGCATTGCGTTGCCCTGGCTCAGTGGTATAGGTGGATAATAGGGAAATAGGGAGGGGGGATATAGTGGATATAGTGCTGTAGTGGCGACGGAAACCCTCGTCAAAATACAACTGTATAATACTTGTGAGTTATGACGCTATACAAATTTTAGTTTTCCTCTGGGAATCACGTCAGGGTCTCTAAACATATTATATGCCTAGTATAACTAGTAGTCTTCAATGTTTCAATTTTTCGTGCAAAAATGTAGTTCTCTATACCTTTCAATCTCTGAGCCACTTTTAGTAACTCTTGCTGTATATGAGTAGTAAGTACCCGTTTAACGGTTAAGTCGATTTTGAGGTTCAGTCCAGTATGACCAAAGTGTAAGTTAGTTTCTATATCTCTCATTGTGTATATATATATATATGATTTACACGTTACATTATAGTGCATTGCATTGTCCTAGCTCATGCAACGGTCCTGAAAGTCTCGGTCAGGCACCCGCCGCAGGAGTGAGGGGGGAGGGTTAGATTGGAGACGGCCCTCGTCGAAATACAACGGTTTTTACTAGTGCTGGACATTGGCTTGCCTAATCCGGATCACGGATTGAAATACAGAATCCGGATTGGCGGATTCAATCCGTTTTAACCGGATTCGCGGATTCAATCCGTTTTTCGGATTAACGAATTCAATCCGTTCTCCGGATTTACGGATTGAATCGGTAAGTCCGAGTAACAAGTTTAATTTATAAAGCTGAATTAATAATTTAAAAATAACGGAATTCCCGTCATCTGGTTATACTAATAGATTTACTCAATAATTATCTTCTCTTTTATAAGAAAAAGGAATTTTTATTTTTAAACCAGAATCCGGATTGAATTATCTAATTCGGATTCATATCAAAATCCGGATTGGTTATATAATCCGGATTGATAATTTTTAATCCGGATAAACAGATTAATGACGGTTGTTTCAAACCGGATTGATCCGGATTGGTAATCCGGATACGGATTTATCCGGATTTGATGTCCAGCACTAGTTTTTACATAATAGAATACAATGTGATAATATACGAATTTTTGCCCTCCTCGATTATCACGTTCTGGATCACTATTAGCCCGTACTACAATCGCCGTACCCACGCTCTTGCCGAGTTTCACAACTGCAGTGGGACTGCTGGCAGTGATAAACATTAAATCAATTTTAACGTCGCCAATTGATTAATTGCTAAAATACATTCCCACCTAATACCTAAAAATACATAATATTATAATACTTTAAATAAAATTATTTCCAAGACCTGTCTACAATAATAATGTACGACTTTAATAATAAGACGAGCTTATTACGCATACGCGTTTCCGTTATACCCGTCCCATTCGATTTGATTTTTGCAGCAATTTTTCACGCGAAAATGAAGTACTCGCGCAGTTCCTTTGAATTCCTGACCCACTTTTCGTAACTCTTGCTGTACCCGTTTAACGGTAAAGTCAAGTTTGAGTTTCTGTCCTGTAGTGGGAGTCCGAGGTAACGTACTTGATATCAAAGCACTGTATAGAAAACGCGTGTTTCTTGTTTTTCAATACCATCGCGAAAGTCACCTACGCCAAGGTAATTATCGTGTCAACTCCGGTATACCAGCTGCGGTTTAAGTCACACACATAAATATTAATAATAGCTTATATTCAGTGAGCAACGGCAGTAAATAGTAATCAACATAATATTCACAGTAAAAACTGCGCTTTATACTCAGTAGAATGTTAGGTACTCATCCCTTGAACGCTGTTTATGGTTTTTCGGGGAGAAATATTAGGTACCGCCTATATACCTAAATCAGTTGTCAACAATGTCAAAAAAAGTCTGATTTTGGCTTCGGCCGATATTATTTTTGAAAATATTGCAGCAGCCGATAGTACTCCAAAGTCGCCAAACACATGACACGCGAGTGTGTGGTGCGCGGGAGACTCGATAACGGAACGAGTCCGATTCGCGTGTCGGCGCACGGGGCCGTAAGAGACGCGCAGTCGGCCGTCGGTCGTCGTCGAGTCGACCGATCTAGTCAACCAAATGTCTCAACGTTCTTAAAACCGGTATATCGACTAAAAAGTATTTATTTTTTTCCTTCTTCTTCTTCATCTGCTTCTTCTTCTCATATATATACGACTATGTATATATATATAGGTACGCGTGGTGTGATAGAAAACCCATCGAGAAAACAGTCGGTCAGTCGTCGTACACACACACACACTGCACTCGAGTGTCTGTATGTACGTGTGTATGTGTGTGTATCGAGTTATTTATTTCACGTGTTTTTTTTCACATATATATATATTATATATGTTCCCGTAGAGCTTGTGAAGGTTGGCTAGAATGTCCGAAACGAGTATCTCGAGTGGGCACACCGGTTCACATTATATACACACACGTGTATATATATATATATACTTATTCGTCAGTTTTTTTTTTTTTAATACGCGAGAACGGAGTGGATAAAAAAAAAATGCTATATACAAATAAAACGCATTGCGACAACGTATTATATTCTATTGGATCAGATATGGAGTTGGCCTATTTATTCAAAAGGAACACGTTTTGGCGCGGTGCGCGGGTGACCTTTTAATTGACGTACAACAAACGAGTATGTATAGGTACCTGCGTATAATATATATATATATATTATATACCTAACAACATATACTATATACATTGTAAGTGCGGGGTCTTTGGCGACCGTTGAGCGGTGTGCACAGAGTACGCGATGCGCTACTCATATACGCGCGCGATTAAACGCGGCGATAACGATACACATTACGATATCGAGGAAATACGTCGTATGCACGTCCTGGATAGTATATTATGATGAAAAAAAATATAATAATAATAATAATAATAAAAAACTCGAAGCGCTATCGATGAGAGATATACGCGGAGATACTGCCGCGCATGTATATACTGCTGGTACGTTATATATATACATATAGATATTGGTAAGTGTACATAGGTACTATATGGAGAGAGAGAAAAAAATAATAATACTTATATAGTTAATGCGCGAGTACAAGTATAATATATATCATATATGTATAGGGAGAGAGGGCGAGAGAGAGAGAGAGCTAGAGAGCAGCGCGTATAGAGCGTCAGCGTTAAAATAATAATACGTAGGTACCTATGTATACAATACAATATATATATATATATTCGTTTCGCCATCGCTCTCGTACTATTATGGGTCGTCACTATATAATATAATACTATCGTCCTTGGCGTTGTTTGCAATGCGTCTCATCTCTCTGGAATCCCGGGCATCGCGTGTAGGTAAGGATAACGTACAATATAGTTATTAACAATAATAATTATTATAATAATAATATTTTTTTCCATCATTATATCAATAAATTGTTATTATAATATTAAAATCGCGAGAGCACCGCGCAAAGCCTCCCAGACGCGTTTGTTTTATGCGCAATCATATCATATATTATTGTTCTATTATATATATATATAAATGTTCGTTCGGTGTGCAGCGAGACAAACCGTAGTGCAATTATTGTATAATATGTATATATATGAATATAAGGACCCGCCCGGCTTCGAGCTCCTTCCCGTCCCCAGGGAAACTCGGAGGATCGGTCTGAGTGCGTGCGTGCGGATCAGTGTCCGCAACGCGTCAGTAATGGATACTTTGAAACGAGTGGTACTGCTTATATGTGTGTGTGTGTGATATAATATATATGTATAAATATTATGTAGGTATACTCTCGCGATTTTCCCGGGGGACGGCGTGTCGGGCGCGAAAAAACGCCACTGAAAACTCGCGGAACTGTATATATATTATGTCATATAGGTATATAATATTATTTAAATGTATACTTTAATACAGCTTGTACCGCTTATATTATACATAGAGACGTGTGCGTTTGTTATTAGGTGTCCGCTATCCGAAAATGAAGTTATTATAAGTACGTACAATTATGATCTGCGTTCAGGGCAGGGATGTTGTTGAATTTTCATCAGTTTTCTTCTACTATTTCAATTTGATGCTAAGTAAGGTTAGATAAGGTAGCTTACTAAGATAGCTTACCAAGATCGGCCTTATTAGTAAGTTTTAAATGCTTTTCGCGTTAGTATGAATTAAATTCCAAACATTTTAACCGCAACTTTTGGATTTTTTCAATTTTATTGAAATTTTGTTGAATTTACTCAATATGATAAAACAATTTAAAATATTTTTCAATTTTGTCCACGTAATTTTACTTTGGTGTTTACTTATTGGCTCCAAATCGAAGAACGGTTAAATATGAAATTTTAAAACAAACGCTTTTGTTCCAATTCAATTAGGTATGTTTGAGGTAATAGTTTAGATTAAATTACATTTTTTTTTTGTAGAATTTAAATATTATTATAGAAAAAATAAAGTTGAAAATAATTGCGAAATTATAAATAACAACGAATTAAAAACATTTATAACGAGACATCGTTAGGTATTAATTAATGCACTTTTTAAATTTTTAAGTACAATTTTCTGTATTTTTTAGTGCAATACTGCAATCAATTTTATTTGTTTTTTAATATACTACAACATCCGCGTTTTAATTATGATATACTTTAATTAAGAATTAAATAATTGAATTTAAAGATTTTTTTCCCTAATGTTGTTCATTACGTACCTATATGCATTCTACAAATACTTATGCAAATGTAATTTCGATTTGTAATTGTTTTCTTGTGATTCTGTCCAACGAAGCTTTGAATGTATGATTCCACCCATAATTAAGTTCCATACTACGCCACAATCGGAAATTGTAAGAAATTGTAATTCTGACCATGATATATTTTTTTTTTATGATGCTGCACAGTATATTTACATTTTTTTGTAACAAAATCTGGGGCGATCGTATAATATTTATGTAGGTCGTAGGGACCTAAGTGCGCGATTCCCGCCATTTTCGTCGCACAAAATCTAAAAGACCTTGTACCTATCATAATGATAATATAATGTGGGTACTCTGTAAAGCTATAAAAAACCATAAGCAGACAAGTGAGCATACCTCGGTGAATGTTTATTATGTATAGCTAGCTGCATCTTTATTCAAATAAGATTCGCGATTGTTCGCTGCACTTTTATTGGGTATTTCACCCAATAAAATCGTATAATATAATATTGTACACAAATGCATCGCGAGAATTGTTTAACGGCATGTTATAATAATATCGTATTTAAAGTGTGAACAGAGTCGATCTAAAAATATAGGTAGTACCTATACATGGCGTTGAAACATTTTAAACGTTCTGATACTAAAATATTATATACCGCGATCAACCTCTCACCAATAAAACACGAGTCGAGGTGTTATGTCGCAACTCTCGAGGCGTTCGAACTGTTGGGCTTCATGACTTTATCCTTCGCACGTCGCGTGATTTCCACCTATTGTATTGGAAATTCAAGGCACACTGATATGTTATATAGGTATAAGGTAGGCACCACACTTGTTCGTCCTATATATCCTCAAACACGGTGACGGTGTAGTGTGGTAATAACAATATTATGCGGGCTCTATGGTCGAAAGAGTCCAAAGACGTGGTACATACCTATAGTATGTCCTACGTGCGATTGCGTCTACTGCTCAACGACTGAATATCACTCGTATTTCACGAAATAATTTATTATAATAGTATATAATATTATTATACAGCTGCATCTAGTGTCGAATGTCTCCCAAATCTCTCGATTCTTGCTGACCGGCCACAGCGGAAACGCGTCCTTATGCCATTGCAGTATTTATAAGGAGCTTCACCGAACATATTATTATATTAACCTAATTTATATCTTAGGACTTTTGAAAAGCTCGGAATTTAATAATCACAATTGTTTGATTATTTTCTCATACCTACTTTTCTCCTGTAAAATCTGTTCTTGAGTTCGGCTGTGTCATATGGAATCCAACTCAGGATGGCCTTAAAGATAAACTCGAGAAAGCTCAGAGACGATTCTTTCGTATGATTTCCGGTAGGATTGATTTGGTTGGTTATCCAGTAAGAGATGTCGCCATACTATTATGCCAAATCCTACCTATAGAATCTATACAGCCAAATACGGATATATAATATTTATCTATAAGCTACTAATCAATAAAATTGACTGCCCTGATCTACTGGACCGAATTTGTCCCAAAATGCCAGTTTATAATGTTCGACAGTCCCAATTATTGACATTTTATGTCTTTGTTTTGGCACATGGAATCGAAAAACTTTACGTTACGAAAAAAATTGCAAAATATCATTTTTCTAATCCGAGATTTGAACTCGATATACGCGCTTATCATACGACAGTTAGGTGATAGATATATGATAGCAAGGGCAACAAATACATAAAATGTGGTACTTCATTGCAGACTCGTATGCAATATGATTTTTTAAACAATTCCACAACAATAACCAAATACAATTATTATACATAACATTATGGCATTTTTTTCGTTTTTAGTTTAAAAGATTATTACTTTTCAAACTAATGAGTCTTCTTTAAAAAATCATAAAAATAAACCTTGACTCAAAGTACTTAGATGAATTTTTTCAGTCAAATGTTTTCTAAAACAGATTCAGAAGTTTTCAAACAAAACTTATATCAATTTTTTTATACTAATTCAGCCGAGGATAATGTCGTATACGCCACGCAAAGGCTTGACGTATATAACAGATATATTTCGGTTTCCGATTCTCTAACCGTCGAACGAGTAAATTATTGACACCTGCTGTATGAGTTTAATTTAAGTTCTCCTTTTGGTGACCACGATAACGAGTACTGCGCAATAGGATAATTAAATAAAAGTCCAGCAGGATTTACACTATACAACTCTAAGGTTATTTTACTCCCGAACAACTGACCACGATAACGAGTACTGGATGTTCGAGGGTGAGGTATCTTTTACCTAGACAAAGTCTTACTCTTTCTCGACTGACCACGATAACGAGTACTGGGCGAGAAAGTAAGTACCACAGTGTCTTACTACCTGTTTTTAAAAGTGTTATTCACCACAACGTCTCTGTATCAACTCGTAAGATAAAAATATTCTAAAAAAAAGGCGTAAAGAAAAACAGTGACACTTGGTTTTTTAAAAAGAATTAAATATAATAAAATATATCAAAAATAAATAATAAAAGAAACGTAAAAATACTGCAGCTCGCTGGCTACTACAATGAGCGAAACGAACAAAACAACAACCCCGCTCCCGTCGCAGACGTCGCCTTAAGTAGTTGTGGCAATTTTGCTGACTCGGTTTGATTGACTTTCTGCTTCGTGTTTTATTTTGATATTTTATAATTTCGTTATATATACAACAGTCCCATTACTACAAATAAAATATGTCCTCATATTTTTTTATTTTTACACATAGGTATTTTGTAATGGGAATCTTCCATATGCATATTACGTACCTATTTGTGGTTATACGACATTATAATATCATTCTTTTTCTTTATTTTTTTGTTCTCTTGTTATAAAATCCACCAGGTTTTCAAATTTCTTTCTTATTTCTTCCTCTATTGCTATTGTCTCTGCTGTTTTGTTTTTTTTTACTTGCTGTTGTTGTTCGTGTTTTCGAGACCTCCTGATTTTGCTTCTATTGTATGCTTCTTTACCTTGTTGGATTCTATTTATATTGAATTGGACATTTTTGATTTTTTTTTCTAGTCTCGCGATTTCTTCTTTTTTGTCCATCTGTAAAAATGGATTTGAAATTTATATTCTTTGATTCTCGTTTCTTGATATTATTTATTTTCATTAAGTTTTGAAATAGTTTTGATTTAATTTTGAACATTTTTATACTATATATTAGGTGGTACACAATTTTTTTACAAATGGTTGGTTTAAATTTTACAATTTTATATGTACCCCCAAAAAAAAAAAAATAAAAAAAAATAATAATAATATGTTACATTTTTCTGCTTAGTTGAGTTATTTTACATTTGCTTTTTGTCTTAAAAATAGTTGTTGATTTTTTACTTAATTTTACATTATTATGTGTATCTTAAAATAAATGGTTAATTTTTCTACTTAATTCTATTATTTTACATTTTTGTTTTTGTTGACATTTGGCCTTAAGAATAATGGTTAGTTTTCTAGCTTAACTTAATTTTACATTTTATGTATAGGTACCTTAAAATAAATGGTTAATTTTCTTCTTAATTGCATTATTTTACATTTTTTTTTTTTTTTTTTTTTTAAGAATAATGGTTAGTTTTCCCCTTTTGTCTTAAACCTAGTCTCTCTTTTTTTTTTTTTTATTCTTTTTTTCTTCACCCCCGAAAGGAAAAATTATACATATTTATTTATTACCTAATGTTTAATTAATCTTAATATTTATTTTTAGGCTGATTCTGTGTTATCCTGGACTTGAAGTTGGTTGCTCTGAGCATTGTATACTACTTTCACAGTGTCTAATGGCTTAGTTTTATTTTTTGTCTTGAGTGATTTTATTATTTTGAATAGGATAATTCCGGTTAATATTAGCGCTATCGTCGATATTCCTACAGAATGTACCGTTTTTATTTTATCATTTGATTTTGAGATTAATTCATTTGTTATTTGTTCATCTAAGGTTGACATTGATTTTGCATATATTTTTAAATCATTAAACTTCACCGCTGTATTAAGGCTAATTTGGTTTTCGCCATCGGGTTGTTGTTGTCTTATTTTGTCATTGAAGTGTTCAGTTAATTTAGATAAGTGAAATTGTGGTACGTAGTCTTTAGAAAAATTGCTTTTTCCCAGATATTTAGCTAATATAATGTTGTTTTTAGTGAAAGCTTTACAATTCGGATTTAGACTTAATATTCCTGCTTTGTTTATTTCTATATTCTCTACTTCGTCCTGGCAGCTTACGATTAACTCAATGGGCTTGTGGGTTGCGTATATCCAACGATTACTATTTCCTAGTTGGTGCCATAGGTCACTAAATATTGGTACCGTTTTTATTTCGCAATTTTCTGGCATATTGTTTTCTTTTGTAAATAATTGAAATTCACAGCTTGATTTAATATTGTTTGAAATCGGCATACTTGATTCACAGATTAGTTTTTGTTTAGTTGTTTTACATTTATTAATTTGATTTTGGGTAAAAAATATGTAAGACTGTTTATTTTTTTTCTACCGCTATAAATTCGTGGGTAGATTGAATAAAAACGAAATCGTTTTTATTTACATGGACCGGTAAACTTATGATATGGTAAAGATTAAAGGGTATGTTTTCTATGAGTGGTATATTTATTACAAATATTATTAGATGATTGACATAAAAAATATTTAAATCGATTAATTTCATAAAGTCAAAATAGCTTTTAGCGTTTATTTCTATAGGTAAATTTAGATTTGATGGTAAATTTGTTTTGATATCTTTAAGCTGTGTCAATAATTCATTTGGTTTAATTATTTGGGGATTAACCTGTCCTTTGTGTGCATTTGTTATTATGTTTAATAGTAAGGTGGTATCTTTTGCGTATTGATTTAGTAATTCAGTATAGAGTGAGTTATATAGTAATATTGATTCTACTATATTTAAGATTTTTAATTCGTCTTTTTGTATTTTTAATTCATTATTTAGTTTATTCATATTAATATCTATGGTGTCTTTAATTTTTGTGTAGCTTGAAGTAATTTCATTCACTGAATCTAATGAACTTTTGAATATTTTGATTTGTTCTTTTTGAATCATTAAGGTTTTTATTTGTTTTTCTTCTAGTGTTTTGATCTTGTCCTCAAATATTTCTCCTTCCTCTTCCGTTAGTACTCCAAATAAAATTCGTTGCAATTTTCCAATTCCGCCGAAATATGAACTTCGTTTTGTTCGTTGTTTAGCTGTGTTGTAATTGGTTTCGTCGATTTCTAGGTATTGTTGAACAATTTCGTGTTCTTCGTTTATTTTGTTGATAGTTTGAAAATTAATTTTTTGTAATTCCGTGCAAGTTTCTGTTAATTTTTCATAAGTTGATTGGTATTTATCACAAAGGTCTTTTAGATTAATATAATATAGGTTAATTGCTGCATAATTTTGTTCATAATCAGATATGTTGTAATAGGTTACTAGGTTCCACTGTGAAACAGTTAAGAATAATGGGGAGATATTTTCAAAATATATTCCTGGATTGTTCGTAAATTGTTCATTTTTAAAAGAATTTGATTCACTGGATTTTATTATAAAAAACACGGTGATTAAAGTAACATGTATTTTCATGCTTGATAATTGTTTTTCTATTGCTTTAAAATGTCCCATTTTTTCTTATCAAATGCTTTTGTCACTCTTTAATTATGTATTTCTGTGCGTATGTTCGAGTTTTTAACTTATCATTCTATAAATAAAATAATTTAAAACATTATTTATGCTCGCTGTTACTTATAGGTGATTAATAATATTATATTATGAGCTCTATGTTATTTTTATAGTTAGCAATATTTCTAGGAATCCATGCATTTTTATATTTTACGTGAAGGAGGTACAGCAGAATATCTTTGCCGGGTGTTTGTTTTATGCTTACGCGGGAATATATTATATACATTAACCGTCTACATATATATATATTTTTTTTCTCAAACGGCGGTATAGTAGCATTTTAATCTGTTGGTTGTTCGTTCTTATTAGATTAGCGTAGGACTATAATATATTATATGTATACTGTTTTTTGTTAAATAATCGTATTATTTATTTCACTGATTTTGTTGAGGCTTGTTAGTGTACGATAGTTCTTCTTAGCGTCCGGATCGTTTTTGTCTTATTGTTTTATACCGTTCTTTTTATCGTATTCACATTTTATTATGGACCACCGAGTTGTTAGTATACTAATTATTTATATGGAATATGATTATTGTGATTACGGATAAGTATGTGTTTATGTGTTTTATGTGGTGTATTCTTATATAGGAATTTCGGTAATTTTTATTATGTTAACTTTTATATTCCTAATTTATTTATATTTAGTCGCTTAAATTATAAGCTATATAGGCTAACCTAACCTATAGACCGTCTATGTTTGTGGTATATCTGTCTCGTAGAATGGTTTCATTCTTTGTACGTGTATAACATCGATTTCTTTTTTTCCTCGTAATATCAGTTCTACTCTGTAGTTTACATCTGTTAATTTTTCGATAATCGTGAAAGGACCCTTGTACTTATATGCTAGTTTTTTTGATTTATTGGGTTCATGGAAATCAAATTTTATTAATACCTTTTGTCCCGGGTTAAAATTAATATATTTGTGTTTTAAGTCATACTGTTTTTTTTGAATAGCCTGCTCCTTTTCGATAATTTTGGGTATAGTATCTCTAATTGTTTGTAATTGTTTCAAGGATTTCGTTAAGTTAAATAATTCATTGTCTATCGTTAATTTATTGTCTAATGGTTGGTTTGCTTCTATACCATGGAGTAAATAAAATGGACTAAATTTTAACCTCGAGCTTGGACATGAGTTGTAGGCGAAAATTACCATTTTGTAGTATAATGACCAATCTTTTTGGTTTTCATTTACGTAGTGTGATAAGCTATTGCAAATTATTTTATTCATGAGCTCTGTCATTCCATTTGATTGAGGATGATATGCACTAGAGAATAATTGCGTAATACCTAATTTTTGGCACGCATATTCTACTTCTTTGTTTTTGAAGTGAGTGCCTCTATCGCTACAAAAGTATTTTGGTACTCCGTACGACGTTACTAAATCCATTAAGAAATTAATTGTTGCAGCTCCGTTGGCATTTGCGACGGCCTTTGCAAACGCCATTTTTGTTGCGTTACAAGTCGCTACAATAAGGTACTTTTTCCCTCTTGAAGTGGGTAATGGGCCTAAGTAATCGAATGTCAATCTTTGCAACGGTTTTCCTGACGTTAGAGGTATTGGTTGTAATAACCCATGGCCTTTACCTGTCGGATTTTTTATCATTTGACAAGAAGCGCATGTTTTTATGAATTGTATAGTATCTTGAATTATTGTGGGCCAGTAGTATTTTTGTTTTAGTTTAGCCAAGGTTTTTGTTACACCAAAATGTCCACTGAAAACTGATTCGTGGTAGGATTTCAAAATAGTGTTAATTAAACTTTTTGGTATTACTAATAGATTATTTGCTCCATGGGGTGTCCAATTTTTATAATAAAGTAATTCATTTTTTATACAGTATTGCCTAGATTTCTTTTTGTATTTAGAATTAATTTTGGTTTTTATTGCATCAATAATGCCGTTACAAAATTCATCCAATTGTTGTTTTTCTTTTAATATATCAGTATTAACCTCATTGATAGCTGTCGGGTCATTGTTCTCTAAATTCTTTAATTCAGTAATTAATGTATTGATATTTTCTACTGGATATCGAGATAAACAGTCTGCAGCTAAATTCCCTGCACCCGGTTTATGCTTAATTTCTAAGTCAAATTCTAATAACTTGAAGATAAATTTCGTTATTCTAGATGAAGGATTTTTCATCGTCTTATAATATTGTAAGCTTGAGTGGTCGCTATAAACAGTAACTTTCCTACCTATTAGATATTCTTTAAAATAATTAAGTGCAAATACTACGGCTGACATTTCTAACTCTGTCGTCGAAAAATTTTTTTCTCCGCCTTTTAGTTTCCTAGATGCAAATGCAATTGGATGCTTTTTTCCATCCGGGTTTTCCTGTTCTAAAATACCTGAAAGCCCATCTAAGGAAGCGTCAGTCGTGACGAAAACCGGGTACGTGTCCTCAAAATGTGCTAAAACGGGTGCCGTAATTATTAAGTTTTTTAGAGTATTAAAAGCGTTATTTTGGTTCTCGCCCCAACTAAATTTATTTTCCTTTTTTGTTAAATCTATTAATGGACTCGCAATTTTGGCAAAGTTTTTTATATATTTCCTATAGTAACTTGTTAACCCAATGAACGACCTTACATCTTTTACCTTTTTAGGTATAGGAAATTGTTTTATTGCTACTACATTTTTTTCTAATGGAACAATTCCTCTGTTGGAAACCTCGTGTCCTAAAAGTTCTATTTTAGAGCTAAAAAATACACATTTATTTGTTTTTAATTTTAGTCCTGCCTCGTCCAACCGAATAAAAATGTTTCTTAGTCTTTCTAATGATGATTCAAAGTTTTTCCCGAAACAGCAAATATCGTCTAAATATGCAACCATAGTCGTATATAAGTAATCACTAAACAAATTATTGATTATTCTTTGAAATATTGGTCCTGAGTTTTTAAAACCTTGAGGAATACGTTTGAAATGATAAAGGCCAAAATCTGTAATAAAAGCAGTTTTGTATCTGTCTTCAACCCTTATTGGTAATTGAAAATAACCCTGGGCCATGTCAATCGTGCAGTAGTATTTAGCTCCTTCTAGGCTCCTAAACAAGTCCTGTGACCTCGGGATAGGATGCTTATCACTGATTGTTTCATCGTTTAGTTTCCTATAGTCGACTAAAAATCGATACTCCCCAATTTCTTTCTTAGGTATTAAAAATACTGGAGCAGCATAACTACTTCTACTGGGTTCAACTATATCAGAGGCTATCATTTGATCTATTAAAAGTTTTAGTTTTTCCCTTTGGGTTGGCGCTACTCTGTAGGGAGGTTGAAAAATTGGTTTATTTGATTTTAAGTTAATTTCGCATGGTTCTACATTTGCGCAACCGATGTCCAGCGGGTCGGATGTAAATAAATGTTTGTATTTGTTTATTAGACTTTTTGCCTTTTCCCTCTGTTCACTATTTAATTCATTTGATATTCTTATAACGGTTCCTTGTTTATCACTAATTTCTTGTTCCGGTTTATTAATTATTGTTGAGATTGTTTCTTTGTTGACAGAATCATTTGTTTTTTCTATTTTACCTATTGTCATGCCTTTATACGTTTGTGTATACAAATTTGGGATAGTGTTCCCTGAAACACATTTTTCATTATTATTTAAAATTTGTGTTTCCAATTTAAAATAATGTTTCTCTTTATTTTTTTTCTCGTCTTTGTTCGTGTCTGAATTAATATTTTCATATTTTAATTTTGGCTCATGTGGAGTTGTTATATTTTCATTTTTGGTTTGGTTTCCTTTCCTTTTGTTATAATTTATACTGGTAATATAATTGATTTTTGTATATTTATTTGTAATATTATTTTTGTGATAGTCATACCAGTTATTGTCCATTGGTATGATAACATTTTTATTAAGTTGTATGTTTTTATTTTCAAAGTCAATTATTACATTATTCTTAATGTTAAAATCATTGCCTAGGAGCAATTTGCAATGTAGTCCTTTAATTACATATGCATTTATTAGGTAGTGGTCATCTTTTATTTTGATTGTTATCTCTGTTTTACCTAATTGTTTTAATTCTGTATTGTCTGCACTTGTTATTATAATATTTTCTTCAGGTTTAATAAGTTGTTTATTTTTTGTTAACGAGTAATCTATACATGACAGATTTGAGCCTGTATCTAATATAGCGTATTTTTCCGTTCCGTCAATTTCTACTTTCATTGATAATACTCTTTGTCCACATTCTGTATTTATTATTAATTTTTTGTTATCTTTGTTTTTGTTTTCTGCAAAGTTTTGATTTGATAATTGCAAATCGTTTTGGTATTTGTCTAAGTAGTCATCTACGTTTTCTTTTATTATGTTAAGGTTAGGAAATATCGTGTTGATTGTTATATTTGAAAAGGTGCGTGGATTATTTATTTCGGTGGATATACCGGGTGTCCTGTGACAATTCTTATGGAAGATACCTATATTTTGGCGACTGGGTTTCCAGTATACTATTGCGTTAGAGTTCTCGTTAATTTCATAGATTATAAATAAATTTATCTTGAATTGGTCACAAATAAAAGCTAAGTCATCATCTTTAAAATAGTAGCCTGATTTTAAGTTAGGAATAGTTAGCATATTCAAAATTTCTGCTGTTGTTTTGTTAATATTAAGATTTTGTAAACATATGCGTAATGCGTGGGCTCCACAATCACGGTCATACGGTACCTCTTTTAACTTAACAAATGAGCCTGCAATGAATGCTATTTCTTTTTTTAAACTGTAGTTGATATTAGTGTTTGGAATTATATTATAACTAGTATTTAAAATGTCGCTCTTTTGGATATTTTCGTTTTTTGGTAAGGTGAATATTCTTATTTTCGTTATTGAATTTTGAAAAATAAATCGTATCATGTCAGCTATTATATCCCATTGTTTTTTATCCAAACCCGAGCATATTTTTGGCAAAGCTAATGTTCTGATTTTATTTTCAGTACAAAATTGCTTAGTA